AAAGCTAATAAAATCATGTTGGGGTTGAAATTAGGATGAAGGGCACTGAAAAATTTTCGGGCATGCTTTGGACTATAGGCATGCTCACCATATCTCAAATTAGAAGGTACATTCTTTTAACTTACATTTTTGAAATGGTTAGATTAAAGGCATACCCCTAGACATGTCCAAGGGACACGTTTGTTCCTCAAATCGTACATGTACACAATTTTTTTTTAAACAATATAATCTTATTAATTAGTAATTTTTATATTAAACAGAATATAAAATACAGTTAATTATAATATATATAATATCTGATATTTAATACTATAATACGTAATATATACAATAATAATTCTTTTTTTTTTAGAAAAAAAAAATTTCCATAAAATAGTTTCACAGTGTTGACATTTTTGACTATCCAAATTTATTAGATTTATCGTTATTATTCCAATCATAATTTTTCCTTTTTCTTTATCTCTTACTTACTAAATAATTGTACCGTACCTCAACATGATGTAATGTGTAAAGTATTTCATTCTGCGTTTATGAAATGATTCGGATAAAACCAGATTATCCACACCGAGTAGTTGCAATTGGTGGTACCCACATTTTTTTGCATTGATTCTATGTACTCTATTCTATGTATTCGGTTTCCAAACTTTTCGTATTAACCTTCTTTTTTTTCTTCCTCCTAAAACGGTTAAAAAATGTATACGAAATGCGTTAGATTTGTGGGCTTAACCCTTTGGACTACTAATTTAGTCACGAGACCAGTCTCTAATACTATATATATACTTACATATAGGCTAAATTTAGTTGTACCTTTAATATTTGCCATTGCTGCATTGGGTCATATCTTTTTTTTCTCCATCTGGCGTAGATTTTACAATTTAGATTTAGTTCCTAGTCACATACGTACCATTGTAAGTATGCTAATAAGTTGAATAAAGAAATAAATAATAGTTCTCATGACTTACGTATAAGTATCAAATATTAAAATGATTCTTTAAGTCGTTACTACGTACTTGTTTAATATTGACGTAATGCGTGGTGGTCATGCCATCAACGATTTTAAACATGTATATAAATTTTTTTTTTTTTTTTTACAGATAATTTGTAAGCCCAAATTTGGTTAATTATTCCTTCTTACAAAATCATTATTATTTCATAAAATTGGTCATATTAAACTGTACATATAATTTCCTATATATAACTTAATATGTAATAAAACGTTTAGAAAAAAAAATTTTTCTTTAAAAAAAAATATAGAAAGACTTTCAGATAAATGTGTTTAAAAGAATTTTTTTATAAATAGAGATTGGCGTTTGAAATAATAAATTATATAATTATCATTTCCCAATGTGTATATATTTTTCAATTAATTTTTAAATGGCAATGGTTTGCAATACTGTACGTACGCGTACGTAAGTATATTTCTTTTCAAAAATATATTTTATATATTTATGTACAGTACGTATGTACGTAGAAAATGTAGTTGCATAAATGATATTGTATATATTATAATATGATTTTTATAACAAAAATTATAGAACAGGGTAAAACCTGAGTGGCTAGCTAGAAAAATCTGTTCGATTTATGTAGTTAATGCCGGAGATTTCCATTTGAATTGAGACAATTTTTGGGGCATATTTTAACTGCAAATTCCCCGTCCTTATACATGTAATATAACATTATATGATATTTATTGATCGGATAATTCTCGATATTTTCCTAGACCGTCCGATACGTCGCGAAAGTTTCAATTTCTATGCAAAGTGATACAAAAGCTCTGTTTTTGATGATTATCAAAAAAATATTGCATACTCGTACCCGCTATTTTACGAATCGAATTTGCTCCGGGTTTCCGTTTCCTAATGGTACACGTTTAAATTTTTTTTTTCTTTAAAAAAAATTAAACAATATCAAAAAATTTTAATAATGCAACACTACCACTACTACAGTCAATATATTAATTTTAGATTTAATTCATAAAATATTCTCAATATATTCTCAATATATTCTCAATATATTCTCAATATATTCTCAATATATTCTTAATATATTCTTAATATTTTAATTTTTTTTTTTTTTTTTTACTATTAACTATAATGTAAATGTATCTATCAACTATTGACATCTTCCCGATTTGACTAATATGTTGTGAATTATCACAATAGGTTCTGTAGAAAAAAACGTTAACTTATTATTGTACAATAAAAAAAAATTTATATAAGAAAGAAGTCTTCTTTTTTTGTGGGGTGAAATGTCAACTTTCTTAGGAAATTTGGCGCGAAAGTACGTCTAAACTAAAATATGCACCCGAATATGTTTCAGAATAACTTCTGAACTAAAATATGCACCCGAATATGTTTCAGAATAACTTCTAATAAAATGGATATATTAAAGTTCTCCTTTCGCGTCATTATTTATATTTTTTGTCGAGATATTTTTTTTAGTGCATTTAAAAATTTCGGTATGATAACAACATATTAATTATAATATAACATTATATACATTAAAACTTCGTATATTATTTGAATCAATCGATTTTTAAATACAGTAGTATATGTCAAAAAAAGGAAATATGGGTCCACATTATTTACATAAAATTTTTAGCTGCGGTGTATATATATCTATTGTAATCGTTTCGTCGCTGTTAGAAATAAAAACCTCTAAATTTTCACTTCATTTTCCGTTTTTTTTTTCTTTTTTCTTAAGGTAAAAAAAAATAAAAAATTTAGAAAAAGCTTATCATTATTATGAGTCGTCCTATAAATCGAGCAGTTAGAGGCCAAGTACCTCAAAATGTCGATATTCCTGTGAATTCATCTTATGATAATCTTAGTGCTGAGCAAAAATATGAAAATTTGACTAAAGGTACAACAGCAGATTTGTTCAACACTAGAAAACAAGAAACAGAAAATCAAGAAGCTCCTCAATTTTCGACCTTTATTTCTGGATCGGAATCACCCTTTTGACATGCAAAAACTTTTTGACGAACATTTCAAAAAAAAAAAAAAGTTATTCTCTAATTTTTTCATATGCTGTAGCAGTGAATTTTAATTTAAATCTTCAACAACTATGTATTTTACTTTTGTTTATATAATATATTATAACTAATAGTTCTCTCACTATTCAACATCCACAACCTTTATCTTCGCTGCCCTTATCATCAATCATATTCAATCATTTGGTGTCTTTCCACCACACTTCTCTTCTGTTGATACTTCCTTTCTGTCTACACTTCCCTCTTCTG